GAAGTATTGATTAATTGCTATGTTCTGTTAACGAATCATCGAAGTAATGATTAATTGCTATGTTCTGTTAACGAATCATCGAAGTATTGATTAATTGCTATGTTCTGTTAACGAATCATCGAAGTAATGATTAATTGCTATGTTCTTTTAACGAGTTGTTTGTAACATGAGTTAATAAATGGATTTACTTATTTCTAATCTGTGTGTTTTGCAAAATACTCATAACATTGTTGCACAATTAATTGTTATAACAGTTAATATAACTGTTTCTTGACGATAATGTGAATTGCTTGCAGATTGATTGCTTAGATATACTTGTTATATCTGATTCGCGAATCTGATATAGGTGGGTAATGAGTCACGGCCAATACGCTTTATGCACGGTGTGACCAACAAGAATGGCCAATCAAGCAAGTAGAACAAGGTGTGGCTAATACCTTTTACCAAATCATGTTCAAGGAAATTTTCCAATGTTTTATTGGATAAAAAAAAAATAATACATTTCGTGTTTTGTCTGTCAACTTGAAAAATGTAATCAGTAAGCAATAAAGTGGATAGTTTGCGAAAAGGAGAGGGAAAAGCTGCCATTCGTAGATTAGATCCCATTCTCTTTAAATAACAATTAAAAACATGTAACATAACATTAAAAGACATAAAAATAGTGATAACGTAAGTAGTATAGAATTAAATGAATGACATGTCATGTGATATGCGAATATTTACAAAATATAAAAGGTCGACTCGAAAATAATGTGAATTTAAAAAGTAATAAAAAAAAAATTTTGATTACAAGGAGATCTGATTATAAAATGGCAATATATTTTATTAATATATATATATATAATGAATAAGAAGATACGTGAAAACATTTTTTGCAAACTTGAATCCTCAATAAATATTTATTCATTACACAAACAACGGAATGTTCATTGTAATTTTAAATCAAACTTTATACAAGTGTAATTTATAACAAATCGATTTAGAACATGATAAAAACAATTTTATAACGGAAACAAATTATAAAAAATGTATGAAAAATAAACAGTTCTGACAAAACTGATTCTTAAATATCAAGGACAACATTCTGTTCAATAAAATTATAGTAACCTTGACATGTGACCCGCCTCCAACAAGGAAGGGAGTTATTGTTTACAGAGTAACGTGATACTTCGCGCGTTGTTGTCGTTAACGGTGGGTGTGGGTGGCAGCTCACTTGACACCCTGTTGTGAAAGTAATAAAGTTTAACCGACCTTGACAGACGTGTCTAGTTACTAAGAATAAGAAGTGGGGAGTTGTTTAAACGGTAATAAAACGTGGTTCATTAAGGGACTCTCCTACTCTACTCATATTACCACAAAAGCAATAAACACTTAACACTAGACTTTAAAACACGGTCAATTCCTATCCGATTACAAAGGAACCGACGACAATTGGTGAAAGTTGAGATAATCTATTGGCAAGTGAGATCTGATCTGTTTATTTTAAAGCCGTATCGTCTCTAATTACAGGAAAATAAAGTAAATAAAACATTATAAAGAAAGAAAAGTAACAAAATAACAGATAGAATCATAATTTGTGATAATTTGCGATTTTACAATTTTAAAATAAAAATGGCGGACGCTAAGCAAGCAGTGATGAGCGACTAGTAAGTCAACCCGTATGGCACGTGACTGCACGCTGAAAGTCCCTCCGGCTCGATTTCCTCACCCCTATTACGGTGCAAATCGGATCAGTCCACTCCAAACACCTTTGATAACAGGTAGGACGTCCTGGCTTATCAATTGAACTGCTTCCGCCCATGCGCAATCGATCGGCTGTTAGACAAGCATTATGGACGGACGTGTACAAGTAACTTACATCAAACCTCATTATGGTCATGATTGCAAACTTGGACATATCCCACTATTTAATGAAACACAGAAACTGTGTATACACATCTTTTAGACTGAGTGTCTCATTTCATGTTACATTTCTGTTTGGTTAGATTTCTATAAAATTCACATACTTCTCATTTTTAAGTGAAAAGTTAAATATTAAATTCATTACATTGTGTTAAGGCTGATCACCACCATATGATCTTGGAAAAATATTTAATGATTATTAATAACAAAAATATGTTTTTCCATTTTAGGAAAATTATCACAAGGTACCAGCAAGAGGAGAATATTGAGAGATATCCGGCTGTCAGTGGAAAATAATATTGAAAGGAAGCATCTCATCTCAAATAAAGATCTCCATAATATTTGTACAAGTTTTGGAATCTCCACTCAATTTCTGAATGAAATACATGAAAGTGACATTGTAAGCGTGGAAACATGGGTGATTGTTATGCAAAAAAAATGGCAGAGGCGATAGCATCCTGATGTACAAGAAACAGGATAATTGTGAAGAAGGACTAAGAAAGGAAGATTTTGTGCTAGCTTTTATGACTCCTTTCCAGAGAAGGATGCTGGAGCTTCATGGTAATGATCGTATTTGTATAGATTCTACACATGGTGTCACTGGTTATGGTTTTGAATTAACCACACTCCTTGTTGTAGATAATTATGAAGGTGTACCTGTTGCTTTCTGAATAAGCTCCACAGTTAACACAGTCAATTTTAAGTAAATTTTTGCATTCATTAAAAAATATAGTAGGTGAAATTCACTGCAAAGTGTTTATGAGTGATGATGACATTAAGTTTTTTAATGCATGGAAGAAGTCATGGGTCCACCATCTCACCAATTACTTTGTTCCTGGCACGTTGACAGACCATGGCAAGGAAAGCTTAACACTATAGCTGACAAAGTAAAAAGACAAAAAAATATATGAAGCCTTAAAAACTTGTCAGTTGCAACTTGATGAAAACAAATTTTTAAAGATGTTCTCTGCTCTTCTTGAAGAGCTAGAAGGCTGTGAAGATACTGAAAGATTCCGGGCTTATCTGATGCAGTACTATGTCAATAGAACACAGCAGTGGGCATACTGCTTTAGAGTAGGTCTGCAAATCAACACAAACATGCATCTAGAAAATTTTCACAGAAACCTTAAATACAACTACATGCTTGGCAGAGAGACCAAAAGAATGAACAGATGCATATCTGTTTTGCAGGAATTTCTTCTGGACAAGGAGTTTGATGAAATTAGAAAATTTCATAAAGGAAACATCAACAAAAAGATGACAAATATTTCTAAGCTACACAATGAAGGATGTAAAATAATCTCTTCCGTCGTTTCAGTTGATGAAAAAGATTCCTGGAATGTAAGATCAGCATCAAATACTGAAGTAACATATCATGTCAACCGTGTAGACCATGAATGTACTCAATTATGTGTGGTTAGGTGTTTTGCATGTTATGCTTGTATAAAAGGATACACGTGCACTTGCTATGACAATGCACTTCATGGAAATCTCTGCAAGCACATTCATGCAGTGGCAGAATATGACTGCATTAAGAAGACACAAGTTGTAAAGGAAGATTACAGCAATGTAATTGGCAGAAATATGGAAATTGAAGAACTAAATAGAGTTCACATTAAATCTTTCTCTGCCACTTACAAGCCAGAACAATCTTCTTCTACTGCACATATAGTATCATTAGCAAATCATGTAGTAGGAGCTATTGCAGATATGCAGGGCGAAGTCCCTGAGACAATTGCACAGAATGTTTGCAAGCATCTTAAATCTGCACTTAAATTAATACAAATGTGAAATATTACTCCTGATATAACACTGATGAAGAAGAATGAAAAATCCCAACCATGGAATAAAAAAAATGATACCTCAAAAGAGATTCTATTCCACAAAAAAAAAAAAGCCAAGAAGCCTAGGTTGGTTAAACCATCAGCTGGTGATCAAGAAGAACTTGAAACCGTCTTGTGCCAACAAGCAAGTGTAATAAACAGTGGTAATATGGATCATTCATATTTGTGAAAACTTAAGTTTATGAGAGATTTTAACTTTCATATTGTATTTAGAATATATTATAATGTAAATAAAACAAAATCCTATAATTTGTTTGAAATTTCAGTCTTTCATTTTTTCAATCATATTTCAATATTCACAAACCAATTTTAATATGTTCTTTTGTATTTAAATTTAAAAAGAAATATTTTTAAAATTTAATAAACTACTCTATAATTTTAGCACAAAATTGATTTGAATCAATTGAACTAAAGTTAACTGTGTCAGGGTTAGGTTTTTTTTTTAAAATCTTGCGAAAACCAAATAATGATGCCTATGGAAAAAATTGAGTTTGGTTTTGTGAAACATTTCAAAGATAAACATTAATTGTAAAATAAAATATTGCAAATTTTCTAATATAAAACGTTTAAATTATTTCTAAAAAGCAATGAATAATTTTATTAAGTAATACAAAACAAAAATTTCGAGTAAGAGATTAAAAATTCAGCAGGAAAAAATGAAGATTAAATAAATTTAAAAACAAAAGTCTATATATTCTTATAATAACTTTTATAATATACTGTATAATTTTAAATATTTTGATATAAATAACGAACAATAGTCATCTTTTAAACATTGAGTATTAGACAAAAACAAATTTGCCATTCAAGAAACGAACAGTAGCAAATTTTGTTTGTAATAAATTAATTTTGACTGTGGTGTATTTACACCGATTGCGTTCAGTCACGTGATTCACTGACGTCACAACCGACCGTAAATTACAATTACGCCTGTTGTGCTTCTTGACGTCACAAAGTAGCGACATCTCGTAGTAAAAAACAGAACTACAGCTACGAAATAGTTCTATAATTAGACGCCAGTTTCCAGAATCTCAAGCACGGGCGTAATTAGAAATGGTCGGTAGGCAGCGCCAGTGACATTATGTGTACGAGGCAATAACAATTCCACCAGCGAAGTCGACCTTTCGCCGTAAAATGTAAAACAGTTAAAAACATCCTCTAGCTATGGCTTAACAAATTAATAATTACATTTGATAAAAAATAAACGGTAGCCTACATAGAAAGGTCAACTTCGCCAGTGGAATTGTTATTGCCTCGTACAGCATGTGAAAAGACAGAAAGTGGACAAAGGTTGGTTGGTTGGTTGGTTGGTTGGTTGGTTATAGTTTATTGGCGCAAGGACGACATAGGCCAAGCTGCGCCATGACAAATGGTGTGATTATATATACAGATAAATAAATAAATATATAATGTGAAATATTAAATAATATAATAAATAACAAAACCAATAACAAAATTATATAACAACACACATGTAAATTATAACAACATATATATATATATATATANAAAAGCAGTGCAGTTGCAAAGTATGTGTTTCACACTTAAAATGCAGTTGCAATACTCACATACTGGCTGTTCTTCACCCTTCAGAAGGTATTGATGAGTCAGTGGAGTATGCCCAATTCTCAAGCGACTAAGAATAACTTCAGATCTCCTGTCATATTGTTTATTACGTGTCCAATTTTCTATCATCGGTTTGATCTCGTGTAATTTATTGTGGATTTGTGCATTCCACATAATTTGCCATCTCTCTGCTAGTTGTTTTTTAACGACTAGCTTCAAATCGCCTCCTTCAATACGCATTGTATGCTAAGAAAAACTTGCTGACTTAGCAGCTGCATCAGCTTCTTCATTTCCTCTTATTCCTACGTGGCCTGGGACCCAACAAAATTTTATAGAGAAATCCCTTGCAAGCAGATGACAAATTAGTTTCTGAATTTTAATAACTATGGAGTGAGAACTAAGTTCATACGAGATCAAAGCCTGAAGTGCACTAACTGAGTCAGTGTAAATCACGCAACAACGATGACCTTTCCTATTTATATACTTTAGGGCTGAATAAATAGCCTGCGACTCCGCAGAAAAAATAAAAAAATTTGGTGCTATTTGTTCTGCCACAATTTCATTTTGGCAAACAAAGCCTAAGCCAACATAGTTATCAGATTTAGATCCATCAGTATATATTGGAATTAGATTCCTGTCACAATGTTGAATTTCTGCGAAGTGCTGTCTATAGACGTAGTCTGGGGTGGATTCCTTAGGAAATTGCTTTAAGCTTATATCAACATCTATCGTTAAAGTTGACCAAGGTAGTATACTATTAACCTCAACCTGTCAGATGTTGCTTGTGTCCAAATCAATTGCGCTGATTACATTCTCCATTCTTAGATCGAATGTAGGGACACTACTTTGGTGTGCTTCAAATAGTCTTTTCAATTGAGTATTTGATATTGTACAATCAACTGTAAATCTACTGTAAGATTTCTGTTTGATATAATAAACAAGAGACAACTGTTCTCTTCTAAAAGATAGAGGAGGCTCATAAGCATCCACATACAAACTTTGGACAGGGGAAATTCGAAAAGCACCAGTGAAAAAACGCAGTGCTTGATGGTGGATTGGATCCAGCATCCGAAGAGTAGATTCTCGCGCAGACCCATAAACAATGCAACCGTAGTCCAGCTTAGAGCGGACAAGGGCCCTATAAATTCTGAGCATACAAATTTTGTCTGCTCCCCAGGATGAGCAGCATAGTACCTTTAAAAGGTTTAGAGATTTTAAACATCTACTCTTCAGGTTGTGCAAGTGAGGCAAGAATGTCAGTTTTTGGTCAAAAGAAACACCCAAAAACTTAGCCTCATTCACCATTGGAATTTTAACCCCATTTAATAAAATTTCAAGATCCAGGTGCAAACCACGCCTTCGGCAAAAGTGGATGCACGAGGTCTTCTCTGTATTAAAAGTAAAATCATTAGTCTTGGACCAATTATCTATGCGATTTAAGGAGGTTTGTAGTTGTCTCTCAATGAAACTCATGTTAGTAGACTGGCAGGAGATCTAAAAGTCATCCACATACAGAGAGTGTTTCACACTAGAAGGAAGACAGTTTGCTATGCTATTAATTTTAATTAGAAACAGAGTCACACTCAAAATACAACCTTGAGGAACACCTTCTTGTGTGAAAAGCCTAGATAGTGTGTTGCCCATCCTGACTTGGAATCTTCGATTCTGTAAGAAGTTTTTTATGAATATCAACAAATTACCCCGCAACCCGAATTCGTACAGATCACGGAGTACTCCGTATCGCCAACAGCGATCATAAGCCTTCTCTATATCGAAAAACACAGACACTAAGTGCTGTCATCTAACAAACGCTTCACGTATAGATGTTTCAACGTTTACTAAGTTATCAGTGGTACTTCTGTTCCTACGAAAACCACTCTGATGTGAAAAGAAGTAGTTCTTTTCCTCTAAGAGATACATCAGACGTCTGTTTACCATCCTCTCAAAAAGTTTACACAGGCAACTTGTCAGAAAGATTGGTCTGTAATTAGAGGGATTCTTGTGGTCCTTACCTGGCTTGGGAATGGGAATAATGATAGATAGCCTCCAAGAGTCAGGAAAAGTATGCTCTGTCCATATTCTGTTAAACAGACACAGGACATTAGAAAGGGAATTGTTTGACAGTTTTAATCATGCTGTAGTGGATTTTATCTGGACCTACAGCACTATTCCCCGAGCGAGAGACTGCTGTATGTAATTCAATTCTAGTGAATGGCACATTATATTCCTCATTGGATGAAAAATAGAAAATTATATTTTCTTTTTCACTTTGGGCTTTATAAGCCTGAAAGTTTCTTAAATACATAATATTGCTGGATAAAGCAGAAAATGTTTCACCCAACGTATCAACAATACCCTGTATATCGCTGATTATTGTGCCATTATTTTCCAGCATGGACACAGAGTGAGAAGCATATTTCCCATTAATTTTATGGATTTTATCCCAGACTGCTTTTGAGCTAGTGGAAGATGTTATACTAGAGACATACTTCCTCCAAGAATCCCTTTGGCTTTGCCTTCTGATTCTTCTGGCATTTGCCTTTGCTTTTTTAAAAGCAACCAAATTTCTCGCAGTGGAATATCTTCTGAAAATACCCCATGCTTTCTTATTGTGCTTTAAATGCTGCCTCACAATTCTGGTTCCACCATGGTTTAGGATGTTTTGGATATCTAGTTGATGTCTTCCCCATTGTTTTTTCTGCTGCCTGAATGATACTGGAAGTGACAACCTCAACTGCATCATTGATATCTGCAGTATTGTCCATTTCCTCAGTGATGTTAGCCAAAACGAAAAATGCAGGCCAATCTGCCGTTTCCAGTTTCCAGCGTGGTGGACGGGCTGTTTGACAGCTTTCTCTGCCTCGGTATTTTAGAAATATATGGAAGTGGTCACTAGAGAGTGGATTAGATCCAACCTCCCATGTAAATGCTGAAAACAGGTTTGGGCTTGCTAAGGATAGATCAATAGCAGTGAATGTTCTTGTTGGGGCATAGAAGTATGTCACTTCTCCTGTATTAAATAAATATAGTTGCTGATTGCCTATTAATCTTTCAATGGCTCTGCCTCGCAGGTTGATGTCCGGACTGCCGCACATTGGGTTATGGCCATTAAAATCACCCAGTAAAACGAATGGAGTAGGCAGCTGTTCAACCAAAGCATCCAATTCATCTTCATTGACTCTGACATCTGGTGGCAAGTATATAGAACAAAGTGTGACAGTTACTCCAATAGAAATTCTGACTGCCACAGCTTGCAAATCAGATGTTATTTGTACCGGCAAGGATGGGATGTGATTAGAAACTACAATAGCCACACCTCCACTGGCACGGTTGTGGCTATCATCATCCTTCCGGAAGAGATTGAATCCTTTTAAAGTAATGCTTTCTCCAGATTTCAAATGAGTCTCCTGGAGTGCCACACAGAGAGATGAGGTAGATGACGTAAAGTGTTTAATGTCAGAGAAGTTGTTGCGGAAACCACGACAGTTCCATTGAATTATTTTATAATCCATTATGTGTTTGAGGCAGCATTCTTTGCGAGGGTATCCCTCTTTAATTTAATAGGGGGTTTCTCTTTTGGGGGTGACATTGATTTTGTAACCTCCTTGTAAGTCTCTTCTTCAGAGAAGTCAGAGAACTCACTCATAGATTGTGCCTCTGATTTTTTAGATTTAGAGAGAGCAGCTTTAACTTTCTGTTTGTTTAGCGGGTTCTTGCTTGCTTTTTTGGAGCCCAAGTTTCTCATTATTACTCCTGGTTTAGGTAGGGGTGTTTTTGCTTTTGTACTCTCCTTTGCTGGTGTTTCTTGTGATGGGAGTATTAAACATTTCGCATGGCGAGTAAGAGATTCCTTTGGGGAAACAGAAATATCTGTTTGAACCCCAACTGTCTTTGTAGACTTCAATGCAGCCGCAAAACTCTTCTGTTTCAAAGGAGCGCTTAAGGTGACCATGCGTCGAGCCTCTGGATAGGATACGTTATTTACCGTTTTCACCCGCTGAATCTCTTTCTCTCTCTGCCATGCAGAGCATTTCCGAGAGTAGGCAGGATGGGCATCGTTGCAGTTAACACAGCATGGAGTACTGGTACACTCAGTACTCTGGTGGCCTTCATCTTCACACTGTGCATATAAGCTTTTACCTCGGCAGGATGTTTGTGAGTGTCCAAACCGCTGGCATTTAAAGCAACGCAGTGGGTTTGGAATATATGGGCGAACTGAGCAGCGCAAATAGCCTGCTGTAACAAAAGATGGCAATGACGGTTTTCCAAAGGTGAGGATAAGGTGTTTCGTTGGTATCAACTTGCCATCTCGACGGATTGAAATTCGTCGGACAGCAGTGACACCTTGGTCTGAGAGGCCGATCTGAATATCGAATTCGTCCTCAGACATCAAATCGATTTCAGATATCACACCACGTGATGAGTTCAAACTTGTGTGTGGTGTGATGGTGACTTGTATGTCTCCTAGAGATTTTGTCTTCATAAGCTTTTCAGACTGTTGAGGGGAGGCTGCCTCAACGAGCAGGTCTCCTGATCTCAACTTTTGGATTTTTTTAAGACGCCCAATGGTAGATTCAAAAAGTTTCTGAATCAAAAAGGGGGAACATTTAGAAAGAGTTGTTTCTCCCATAGCATGCACGATGAGATAGGCTGGTTAATTGGAGGAACTGTCCTCCTTTGGTGGTGGTGTATTGGTACATGATTTTTTTAGTTTTAATGAATCCATATTTAAAAATAAGTATTCAGCTCCTAGTGACCCCACCCACCACGGGGCCCAACAAGGGGATGCCGTCACAGGGGAGATTTCCATAGACTGTCGCACCAGGGTTTCCCAAGAGCTATACCCTCACAATGCAGTCAAGAAGAGCACATCTTGTATGACATGTCCGCCCGGTCTGCATCGATCGGTTGACTCCAAGCCGAGGTCAAGAAGGACTCAACGACCAGCCGATTGACTCAAACGGAGCCTGATTTGAGCCTCCCGTTTATCCGAAGCAGNTTCGCCAGTGCTGTGGCGCTTCAATCTTTGGCTATGTCTTGGGCTACTCAATTATTTTACGTTTTTGATACTAAATTAACATCTGAAGTATAATTTTTTATTATTTTTATATTTTTCAATATATTTATTTTGTTTGTACAAAATAAAAAAATAATTTTTAACGATACAATAGTCTTTGTTAGGCTTAACATCGACGAAAATTCAACGCGAAGTGACACGCAACGGAGACAAATTTTCGGAAACGATAAACTATTTTATCGTATGTAAATCAGTTATCCAAAATATCAGTTATCCGGACAACCCTAGTCCCTAATTGATTCGGAAAATCGACGCTCTACTGTATTATATATTTTTGGAAATGGCAGAAAATAAGGAAGATGAATATCGGATTTTTAACTTGATAAATAATTCGAACACAGATAAATTAAACGTTAAACTTTAAAAACGGTTATTTAGTAGTAGTTAAATAGTAATATTAGTTGATGTTGTCGAAACCGTGTTGTATTTGCTTATTGTGTACAGGCACAATGAAGTGACGTTTTTCTCAACACTGGGCTAGTTGAATCTTTTATTTAGTTAGAACGTTTTTTCCATACATCGGGCATCAGCCCCTCTTCAGCTAACTAAATATATATAAAAATATTTTACAGGACACAAATAAAAACCAAAAAACTCACATAAATTCTTAGTAAACCATACCTCACTTCAGCATGGACACTGCACACACAGCAGAAATCAGACTACACTTAGGTTTTTAACATTTTCAATATCAATTTTTTATCACAATTTTAACTTTACAGGTTAAAAACAAAACCTTTTCTACATTTTATTACATAAACAAGACAAACTCTGCAGATTTTAAAAAACTAAAACTTACAAATTTCAGAAGTCTTTTTTTGCCACCTCGTCAACCAATCCGACAATTTGCATATAGCACTATGTGCCGTAAGTTACACTAGTTGACAAATTAATCGACAAACATTTGAAAATCCTTAAGGAAATTACAAAATTTTTTATATTAATAAGTAATATTAGTAATTAAATGTCTAAAATTTTATTTGTGATATAAGATTGGTTTGTAATATGGTAATATTATATGTATATATACAAATATGCAGTTAGGAATATATTTTGTTAAACTTTAAATTATATTGTGAATCTAACTTTAAATACTTTCTTCATATTTATGGTATTTATTTGTGTGATATATAAATATATTTGAACATGGGTACTGTATTACTTGAGACATTTCAATCAAAAGCTAATAATATTCTTGAGGAACTCAAAGAATATGCACTTAGTAATCCTAACGGAAGATTCGAAACTTCGAAGCATGTACAATTCATATATGATCAATTTAATAAAATTATTAGTTTGGCTGAAACCACTATTAAAGATGCAATACAATCCAATGATATCTCCAATATTGAATTACCGGAATTATTAGAAAACAGACTTAAAACAATGGTTAATAAAGATGATATCAAGAACTTGATAAATCCAAACATAAACTTTGATCGTCAAATGCAAATTTTGGAAAAATTGGAGAAAATCGATAATAACATGTTTAATCTTGGTTCCGCAGCTAATATAATAAACAACCAAATGGCAATTATGGAAAAGTTTAAACTCATAGAGGATAAGACCAACTGTTTATCTATACAGGAATGCAATATGGATGTACAGAAAGCAGTCTTGGAAAAATTGGATAGACTAGAAGATAGGAGCACTCAAAATAGTCCTTCACAACCTACCTATAGTGATATCCTTAACAATGGTAAAACTAGTAAACATATTATAAATAAATCAAGCTCACAAAAGGAAGTTATCTTAATTTATAACAAGAATAAGAACAACACTGACAGTGATGTTATTAGGAAGCTTATGCAAATACGAATTAAACCATCACAAATACATATAGGGATTAATAAAATGAGAAAGATAAGGGGAGGTATTGCTGTAGAAATAGGACAAAAAAGAGATTCTGCCATACTAGAAAAAACAATTGAGGAACAAATTCCAGAACTGGTCACACGACGTCCTAAGAGAAGATGGCCACACGTAATTATACATTCTATACATGGTGAAATACCAAAAAAAAGCTGCCAGGGCTTATCTATCAACAAAATATATATCTTTATGAAAATTTTACGGAGAAAGAATTTATAGATCACTTCCGACCTAAATTTACTGTAAGTAAAAGACATTCAACCTACAAGAATTGGGTATTTCAAGTTTCTCCTGATCTAAGACAGCATTTACTTAAATTAGGAAAGGTAAGTAGTGAGTGGTCGCGTTGCAGGGTTGGGGATTTCTGCCAAATCCTGCAATACTTTAAGTGCTGCAGATATAATCACTCTGCTAAAGATTGCCCTAACGCACAATATACGTGTAGTCATTGCTCTGCAGATCACATGTATAATGATTGCCCTAATTACGAACAAGAACCTTTTTGCTGCAATTGTGAACATGAGGGTCTTCATAATACCATACACAATGAAAGAGATAATAAATGCCCGTTATATCAAAGAATTAAGACATATATTGAATCCAGGACTGACTATGGATCTGGACATTACTAATAAAATTCGTTTCTTACAGATAAACATTGGCAGAAGTATTTCTGCCACTTCCCTACTTGCTAAAATCATTAATAATTATGACATTGTGTTTGTACAAGAACCCTACTGTTTAAATAACATTCCTGCTTGTATACCAAATTCTTGTCCTATAATTTTAGGCACACAGGAATACCCTTGGGCAACTACTATTATCTCTAATACCAACGTCTCCATCATGTTCCATAAAATCTATAGCTGTAAGTATATTGTTGTCATAGAACTTATGCTTAAAGATACAAGGTTTATTATAATTAACGTGTATTTGCCTGGAGACTATAACTCTGATGAAATTATTAATAAATTACAGCACATTATTGATGCTTTTAGAGGTATTGACATTATTCTTGCTGGATATGTCAATGCGCACTCTCCAACATGGGGAGGGGACGATTTGGACAGGAGGAGTAGTATGTTAGTAGAATTTTTTGGATTTAATAATTTGTATATCTTAAATAATCCCATGTCTCCTCCTACATTCTCTTCACATAGAGTAGATAGTTCGATCGACATTGTGGTCTGCAGCAGCCGCATCTATAGTAAGATACAAAATTGGAGGGTATGTGAGGAAGATAGTCTCATGGAACACTCTTTAATATCCTTTGACTTATTAGATTCATCCAGCGCTAATTTTCAGTTGTATGCCCGAAGTCCAAAATATATTCTGCAGCAGGCAAATTGGATTGCAATTAAAGAATTCTTAGAGACACATTGGCATAAATGTTATTCTGAAAACAAAGACATAGCTGGTATATAAATACAGGAAAACATTAATTTTATAAAACAGGCTTGTGACAAATATATACCCAAGGGAAACACTAATAGGAAAGCGGTCCCATGGTGGACTGAAGAATTGGAAGAATTACGTAAACAGTCAAGAAAACTAAGGAAACAGTATCAAAGGTGTAGAGAAGAATCACAGTGTACTATAAGCAGGAATGAATATCTAACCTGTCAAATACAATACAAACTAAAAATCAAACAAGAGAAAATTCGCAGCTGGCGTAATTTCTGCACAGAAACTTCCGTTAACCCGTGGGGTTATATAACTAAAATGTGCAACAATAAACTCCGGAAATCCAAGATAATGGTTGCTTCAGAATCCGATCGGAATCAACCAACAACACTAATAAAGGAATTAGCATTACAACTAGACTCGTTCTGTCCAAATGACAACATGATAAATGATTCAAACTTACAGAAACATATAAGAAAAATCATTGAGGAACCATATGATACGGAGGACATGCCAGCCTTTAGTGCGGAGGAATTACAACAAGTTTTTAACAACCTCAAAAAAAGGAAAGCACCAGGCTTAGATGATATAACACCTGAACTAGCAAAAAATCTTTGGTTTTTAATCCCCCAACATCTTGTGGATCTTTATAATACGTGCTTACATCATTCCATTTTTCCTAATTCATGGAAAATAGCTAATGTTGTACCGGTGTCTAAGCCTGGATCACCGGATTGCGCTAGACCTATTTCTTTACTATCAATTATGGGAAAAGTACTTGAAAAATTGCTGACCAATAGATTACAATGGTTTGTGGAACACAATAGAGTTTTGTGTAACAAGCAGTATGGATTTCGTCCTCAGAAATCGGCCGAGGATGCTATTGAAACAGCTGTTAGTAACATCAACAATTTATTACAGGACAACAAATATGTACTAGGGGTCAGCCTAGATATATCTAAAGCGTTTGACAGCGTATGGTGGCCCCTAGTTAAATTACAATTACGGAAATTAAAATGTCCGAATAACATATATAAGCTCTTAAATAACTACTTGAGTGATCGGATTGCAATTTTGAATTATGGACAACACCAGGTAAGCAAAACTATAGTCAGAGGATGCCCACAAGGATCTGTATGTGGACCTATCCTATGGAATATTACGTTTGATACTTTTTTAAAGGAGGACCTGAAACATATGGGATGTGTGGCTTATGCCGACGACGCTATAATGTTTATTGGTAGACGTACAAGAGCTGAATTGGAAAAAAGAGGTAATGAACTGCTTCAAAAAATCTATAACTGGGGCAATGATTATAAATTAGAATTTAACCAAATTAAAACAAGTGCAATTGTCTTCAATAAGCCAAGACACTCAAATTTATATCTTCGATCGCCCCATATAAAAATGAATAACAAAACTATAAAAGTTTGCAAAACCATCAAATACCTTGGCTAATCCTAGATCATAAACTGTGCTGGGATCAACATATAGAGTACATCGCCAAGCGCACTGGGCTTATTTTACAATCTTTTGCCCAAGTAAATAACTAAATTCTTACTGGAAGTATTATATAAATATAAAACAAACACCTTTCTCTATTCCAG